AAAGTTCAGGAGTCATTTCTAAAACACCCTAAAGTTTAGGGGTTTTATGTGAGATAAAAAAGTGCAGGGGGCTTTGTGAAAAATTACCTTATTACAATAGTGGGAAGATTTTTCTCATTGGTTTCCTCGTGTTTGCATGAGATTGAAACATGTACCGATCTGATTTTCTTATGTAAATGCAGATTATGTATGAAAATGGAGCCAGCAAGTTTTGGATATACAACACGGGGCCTTTGGGCTGTTTGCCTCAAACACTTGCATTGAGGAAAAAGAATGATAGCGTGCTCGATGACTTTGGATGCATGGCTGATTACAACAATGCCTGTAAAGTTTTCAATGCTGGGTTGAGTGATTTGTGTGACGAACTTAGATCGAAATTCAAGCAAGCTACAGTCGTTTGCACTGATAAATATACCATCAGATATGATCTTGTTGCCAATCATACCAATTATGGTGAGTTACACACAAACTGACTTCATAGATCTTCTCCATTGTGATTAGTTGCTTTATCAATTATAAACTGTCTATCATTCAGCGCACAATTATGATTTATTTTGAATGAAAAACAGTGTTGAGAATGGTTGGTCCAAACCATTAATCCCACATGGAAAAATTGTAGAACTCAACATGGGTATATATGTGAGGGATTGTCTTCACATAGTAACGAGACCTTTCAAGTTAAAACCCTACACCTGTGGCCTAAAAGGTGTTTAAGTTGGGGACAATATCGTTACTATGTGTTTGGACCGACAGACCCGGTTGGTGCTTAGGACCCGATCCGTGTGCCCCTCCCACCCAACAATTGGTATCAGAGCTTGATGGTGAATCCACGCACTTGTGAAGCAGTACCGGTAGCTGGACTTGGTGGAGTTAGGTTGAACTCGGTAGAACCTAAGGTGATGAGTCGCTACAAAAAGCGTCCTGGTAGCTGGACTCGGTGGAGCCTATGGTGGAGTTAGACTCAGAGAAGTCGGAGGTGGAGTCGCTATAGTCCTACGTACACCCAGGGGCTGTCAAGGTGGTTGTGCAGGTACCTCGAGTAAGGTGAAATATGGTGTACCTCGAGATGTGCATTGACCAAAGGTGGACGATCTTGCGGACAATGTTGAGTGGTGATCTACATGTACAGTTCAAAGGTGGATTCATGGTGGACTAAGGTATAGGTCCAGGTGGAGCCGGGTGGATCGGTGTTAGTTCAAGGTGGAACCAAGGTGAATCGGTTTGAACCCAGGTGGAGATTGTTGAGAATGGTTGGTCCAAACCATTAATCCCACATGGAAAAATTGTAGAGCTCAACATGGGTATATAAGTGGGGGATTGTCTCCACATAGTAACGAGGCCTTTTAAGTTAAAACCTCACACATGTGGCCTAAAAGGTGTTTAAATTGGGGACAATATTGTTACTATGTGATTGGACCGGCGGACCCGGTTGGTGCTTAGGACCGGTTGGTGCTTAGGACCTGACTCGTGTACCCCCTGTGAATGTGAGGGCCATGGGGGCCACCACATTAATGAGAACACCACGTTCTCTTGAACGCGGAACAGAGCAAGCGGCCCACCCGATTCCGCCTTTAGCAGACTATATATATTCTTTCATGCGTGACCTAGGGCTGTGTGCAAGGAGGTCTGTGATTTTTGGTTTTTTGCGGCTGGCTGCCTACAAGCGTGAGGAGTTCATCCGGAGAAAGAGTTTTCGGCTGTTAAATAGTAGCTGCAGTTAAGGAGATTTTGTGTAGTCCTTTTAAGGGTTTTGTGCATCCCTTTGAGAGAATATTTGTGTGAGGGATTTGAGAGTTTTGTGTGAGGGTTTAGATTGAGAGTGATTGTAAACCCTAGTTGTATTCTCTCCCTTTATTAGTAGATCTCCCCCCTCCTTGCCCCGTGGACGTAGGCAATTTGCCGAACCATGTAAAAATTAGTTGTACTGCTTTTGTGTGATTTGTAATAGCTTTTTAGGATCCCTCGACAGGTCAGTCCTAGAACTGATGAGAGGAAGAGCCGATATCTCACTTGGTTGAGATATCCGCTTCAGATTCTTGTCTCCTTGGTGAGACGGGAATTCTTATTGCGATCTGACTCTCTTGTTGTGCTGTCGAAGTGCTGCCGAAATTTTTGCTGCGCGCAACAAGTGGTATCAGAGCCCAGATTTCAGATCTAGGGTTTTTGGTGGAGGAAGACTCTTGTGTGAAGCTTAGTTCTTGGAGTTCTCGGCTTCGGTTGAGATAGCATTAGGAGTTGCCGTTGGAGATTTCGCTTTCCTCGTGTGGATAGGAGATCTATTTGGAATCCGATCTAGGGTTCAGTTGGGTGGTTCCTAATTCTATCAAATTTGTTCTTTCTCTATAATTTGGAGTTAGTTCGCAATGGGAGAAGAAGGTGAAAGCAGCAAATCGATGGCGGGTACAATACAAGTTGGTTTTCAGAACACTAAAATTAGTGTGGTGAAATATGACGGCAAAATCAACTTTGGTTTGTGGATGAGCGACGTACAGGATGCGCTCAATGCTCAGAATTTGGAAGAGACCATCATGGTCCACGAGAGGCCACCTAAATATGAAGAGGCGGTATAGGAGAAAATGAATAGGAACGCTTGTGGGGTGATCAGGTCCTGTTTGGAACAGGAACTGAAATATGATGTGATTGGGGTGACGTCTGCAATGAAGATGTGGGAAATTCTCAACAACAAGTATCTCACAAAGAGTGTTGAGAACAGGTTGCACTTGCTGCGAAGACTCTTTAGATTTCAGATGTCCAGAAGTACCTCGCTAGCGGCTCATGTGAACAACTATACGAAGTTGTTGTCGGACTTGGCGAATGTTGATGAGAAGATATCGGATGAGTACAAGGCGATTATTTTGTTGGGCTCCTTACCGGATGAGGAGTATGATACCTTCGTGCTCACTTTGTTGAACGGGAGATCTTCTATCAGCTATAGTGAAGTGACTAACGCTTTGACCAATTATGATTTGAGGAGGAAGGATAAGGAGACTTCCCGCGCTAGTACTTCAGGAGAGGCCTTGTCGACGAGAGGTAGAAGCCCATATCCGAAAGGTGGTAATAGAGGAAGGTCAAAGTCTAGAGGCCGCCACCAATTAACAAAGAACCAATGTGCATTCTGCAAGGAGCAGGGACATTGGAAGAGAGACTGCCCGAAGCTCAAAGAGAAGGAGAATAGCAAGAAAAAGGGCCCGAAGGCCAATGAGGTGAACATTGCGAAAGGCGATGATTCCGATGATTCGTGCTTTTCTCTACTGATTACTCCGGAGGTGAACCATGTGGATGCATCAGATTGGATGCTTGATTCCGGCGCTACCTTTCATGTGACCCCTAGGCGAGACTGGTTTGCATCTTTTGAGAAAGTCGACGGGGGCGTTGTTGTCATGGGAAATGATCAATCCTGTGGCGTTTGTGGGATAGGTACCGTACGGATTAGGATGCACGATGGAGTAGTCCGTGAGTTGAAGGAGGTGAGATTTGTTCCTCAACTGAAGAAAAATCTTATCTCAGTTGGAGCTTTGGAGGCGAAGGGATTCAAGGTGACTTTCGAAAACGCTGTAGCGAAGGTTACTAAGGGATCATTGGTGGTGATGAGGGGAGTCCGCAATCGGAATTTGTATTATCTGAAGGGAAGCACCGAGATTGGCCAGGTTGCTTCGGCTATTTCAGAAGCGGACATGAGCAGACTTTGGCACTATAGATTGGGGCACACAGGTGAAAAGTCACTGCAGGCATTGTGCAAGCAGGGGCTATTGAAGGGAGCCAAGAGTGGGAAGATTGAGTTCTGTGAGCACTGTGTTCTTGGCAAGAAGACAAAGGTGAAGTTCGGGACTGCCATTCATCAGACGAGGGGCATCCTGGACTACGTGCACACAGACGTTTGGGGTCCCACCAAGACTGCATCACTTGGTGGTAGACATTGGTTCGTCACTTTTGTAGATGACTATTCTAGGCGTTGTTGGGTGTACACCATGACGAAGAAGAGTGAAGTCCTAGATTTGTTTGTGGAGTGGAAGAAGAGATTGGAACTGCAGACTGGGAGAAAGATCAAGACGTTGCGATCCGACAACGGTGGTGAGTATACTTCTGACCCCTTTCAGCAGCTATGTCGAGACGAGGGCATAGAGAGACACTTCACAGTTAGTCATAC